TGTGCCGAACCATGAATCAAACCCACGACCTCCTAGTGCATGGGAGGACACTCAACCAACTGAGCCACACGGGCAATACTTTTTAAATGTCCATACTGCCCAAAGCAATATACAGATCCAATGCAATCCCTATCAAAATTCCAATGGAATTTTTCACAGAACACAAATAACTCTAACATTTGTATGAAACAAAACATCCCAAATCACCAAAGCAATCTTGAGGAAGAAGAACAAAGCAGAAGTATCATGCTCCTGATTTAAAACTATACTCAAATCTTTAGTAATCAAAACAGTATGGTGTTGGCCTGAAAACAGGCACTTGGATCAATGGGACAGAATAGAGCCCAGAATTAAACCAATGTATATACATTCAATTAATTTATGACAAAGGAGGCAAGCTTATTCAATAGGGAAAGGAATCTCTTCAATAAATGGTGTTGGCAAAACTAAACAGATACATACAAAAGAATGAAACTAGACCACATGTAAAAAACTAGTGAGAATCTGTGTGAATCTGTGCGCAAATAGCTCGCTGCCCCGCCCTCCTGCTGATCGGTTGCGTAATGACCATTTGCATATAACCTCTTTATTATAGAGGATTAACTCAAAATGGATTAAAGATGTGAATGTTAAGTGCCCAGCCAGTGTGGCTTACTGGTTGAACGCTGATCTATGAACCAGGTGGTCATGGTTCAATTCCTGGTCAGGGCATATGCCCAGGTTGTGGGCTTAAACCCCAGTGTGAGGCAATGCAGGAGGCAGCCAATTGATGATTCTCTCCACTGAGAAACACTGGCCAGGACTCCTCTGCTCATTTTTAAGTCTAATTTATTTTGTTATTGAGTTGTATGAGTTCTTTAAAAAAAAAAGTATACATATATACTTTTTTTTTTTAAAGAACTCATACAACTCAATAACAAAATAAATCTGACTTAAAAATGAGCAGAGGAGTCCTGGCCAGTGTTTCTCAGTGGTTACAGCATTGGCCAATGCATCGAAGGATTGCAAGTTCAATTCTCAGTCAAGGATTGCAGGTTTGATACCTGGCCCCGGTCAGGGCATGTGAAGCAACCAATTGATGATGTGCCTCTCTCACATTGATGTGGGTTTTTTTTTCCCTCTCTCTCTCTTTCTCTTCTCCCCTTCCACTCTCTCTAAAAAAATAAAACAAACAAAGAGCCGAGAATTTGAAGAGATATTTTTCCAGAGAAGACATACAGATGGACAATAGGCACATGAAAAGATGTTCAACATCACTAATCATCAGGAAAATGCAAATCAAATCCACAATGAAATACCACTTCATGGAGGGATTGAGCAAAAAGAAAAAAGAGAAAGAACTCTTGGACATAGACAACAGTGTGGTGATTGCCAGGGAAAGGAGTAGGGGGAGATAGAGGAGAGTAAGGGAGATAACTGGTGATGGACAGAGACTTGAGGTGGTGAACACACAATACAGTGTATAGATGATGTGCTGTAGAATTGTGCACCTGAAATCTGAGAGCAGTATAATTCTGTTAATCAGTGTCATCCCAATAAATTTAATTTAAAAAAAAAGAGGTAATCACCTCATACCTGTCAGAATGGCTATTATTGAAAAGACAAGAAATAAGTGTTTTTGCCAAATTGTGGAGAAAGGGTAACCCTCATGCACTATTGATAGGATGTAAATTAGTGCTGCCATTCTGGAAAACAGTATGGAGGTTTTTCAAAAAATTTTTAAAGAAGAACTACCAATATGATTCAGCAATTCCTCTGCTGGTTATCTATCCAAAGAAAATGAAAACACTAATCAGAAAAGATATATGCACCCCTATGTTCATGGTATTATTTACAATAACCAAAATATAGAAAGAACCTAAATGTTCATCGATGGATGGATGGATGGGTGGATGGATGAAGAAAATGGGGTATATATAACCATGGAATACTACTCAGCCATAAAGAATGAAATCTTTCCATTTGCAACATGGATGGACCTTGAGGGTATTGAGTAAAATAAGTCAGACAAAGACAAGTACCATATGGTTTCACTTATATGTAGACTCTAAAACACAAAACAAAGCAAAACCCAGATGCATCGGGAACAGAATGGGGGTTGCCAGAGGGGGCTAGGGGTGGGGGTATGAAATAAGTGAAGGAGATCAAAAGGCATAAACTTCCAATCTATAATAATAAAATCATAATATGATAATTTAACTGGACATCCTTCCGGACGAAGCCACGGTGGCAGGGCCAAGGCAGAGGCAGCCGCCACGGCAGCAGGGGCCGAGCCCCTTGCACAAATTTCATGCATCGGGCCTCTAGTTATAAAATAAATAAGTCATGGGGATGTAAGGTACAGCATGGGGAAACAGTCAATAATATTGTACTAACTTTGCATAGTGACAGATGGTAACTGTTTTACTGCAGTGATCATATTGCAGTGCATACAAATGTTGAAACACTATGCTGTACACATGAAACTAATATACTATTTTAAGTCGATTATACTTCAATAAAAAAAGCTGTTCACTAATTCAGAAGCTGACATGGTGTTCACAGTATTTAAGTGACCAATATAACCCCTTCCTCCTGAGACCAGTGTACATTGGTGCCTATTTTGACTGCCCACCTGGATGCAAGCAGTTGACTTCATTATGGCTTCCGTGTAGTTGTGCTCACACACCAATACACTGGAGTACTGTTTTTAATTACGTACTAGAGGCCTGGTGCATGAAATTCATGCACTGTGTGTGTATGTGTGTGTGTGTGTGTAGGGGGGGGGGGCCTCAGCCCAGTCTGCACCCTTTTACAGTCCGGGACCCCTCACGGATGTCCGCCTGCCGGCTTAGCCCGAGGGGAGGCCTAAACTACTGGCAGTTGGACATCCCTCTCGCAGTCCGGGGCTCTCGCAGTCTGGGACCCCTTGCTCCTTACGTCTGCCTGCAGCAGAGGTGGGAGAGGCTCCCGCCACCACCACTGTGCTCGCCAGCCATGAGCCCAGTTTCTGGCTGAGCAGCGCTCTTCCTGTGGGAGCGCACTGATCACCAGGGGGCAGTTCCTGTGTTGAGCATCTGCCCCCTGGTGGTCAGTGCGTGTCACAGTGACCAGTAGTTCCGCCATTCGGTTGATTTGCATATTAGGGTTTTATTATATAGGATTATATTTTGATTTCATGTTAGGTAGATTATAGTAGCTATGACTTTCATGTCAGGATAATAAAGAATGCATTACAAAATATAAGCAGGGGCACTGGGTGTGACAAGAAAGAAAAATTATCCTGGTTTTAGGGAAAGCAAGTAGATAGCATCATGAGTTATAAGTTGATGCAGAAACAGAATGAAAATGCAGATACTGTGAGATGCTGTGTGTTACAGAATTATTTATTTTCAAGTCAAATCCACTCATCTGTATGCCTACTGGCTGGCTTATGGCAAGCAGGAGTATTAGGGGCAATAACAAGAGATAAATTTAACTGAAGAAAAAAAGTGAAGCTGAAGTTGGGCACCTTTCCCTAAAGCACCGATTCTCACATATTACTGTGCATGAGAATAAAAATAAAATTCCTAGGCCCTTTCTCTAGAGATTCTGATTCAGTAGGTCTGTGGTGGGGCTCAGCCACCTGACTTAATAACAGGAACTGCTCTACTCTGACACAGGATGTCTGTACATCAGGGCTTTTTACACCATGTGCATACAAATCTCCCAGGGACCTATCTAAAATGCACTCTGCCTGGCCAGGTGGTTCAGTTGGTTGGAACATCGTCCCATGCAGGTTTGATTCCCAGTCAGGACATATACCTAGGTTGCTGGTTTGATCTCTGGTTGGGGCACATATAGGAGGCAACCAATTGATGTTTCTCTCTCTCCCTGCCTCTCTCTCTCAAATCATTAAAAACAAACAACAACAAAAAAAACCCCGTATCTTCTGGTGAGGATTAAAATAAAATAAAACAGAGACCCTAATTCAACAGGTCTGAAGTAGGTAGGGCCTGGTTTTCAGTATTTCTAACAAGCTCCCAGGTGATGCTGATGTTGCTGGTCCACAAACCACACTTAATAGTACACTTTTGTCCATTTTGGGACAAGATTCTATAACATGTAGAGAATGGAAGGTAGAAAACTCACCTTCAGCGTGGCTCAGTGGTTGAACATGGACCTATGAATCAGAAGGTTCGATTCCCGGTCAGTGCACCTGCCCAGGTTGTTATATATAAAACACCTTCAACATCCACATTCCTTACTCGAAGAATGAGATGGGTGTTAGTGTAACTGAACAGGATTTTTTTCACTGACATCCCCACCTACATATCAAGGGGCTGAACTGTGGTGGAAAGCAGTGCCTAACCTTGGGTCACCTAGCAGTGGGTCACCTAAGGTGGTGTGATGGCTTCACCTCGAATTATGAGAGTTTTTAATTATACTGTACTGAGGAATTTGCTGACTAAACCAACTGATCATCTGGGTCTTGGCTGTAATATCAACTTACACAAAAGTCCTAATTCCTGTGCATTAGTCATCACTGCAGAGAGACTGTGGCACCTCCTTCACGTGGAGAGAACCTTTCTATTTCCATGTATCTGAAATCATCTAGCTGTCCTAATAGCAGGGGGGACAGACTTCAGGTAGTTTAGGTCTGATCAGAGGACTATGGAATTACTGCATGCAGTTTGAAAATCTGTCCACAATTTTTTATATGTATGTACTATTTTAAAAATATATATAGTTATCATTAAAATTTTTAAAATAAATTCTGATTAGTTATGGAACATTATATATTTTCTCAATTAATGGATAGTAAGAGATAATCACCTATCACTTGTGGTTGTCATAATATTTTGACATTAAAAGGGAGTCCTTCTTATAGAAGCAGCTTGACACAGTGAAATTCCAATCCTTCAGCATTACAGAGGATAAATGATACAAGTCATTATTAAATATATATTTTTAAACAAAAATTATGTTTAAGCTCTAAATGGCTAAATTTCTCATTTTATAAATCAAGAAAGGAAAAACTGTTGCAGAATATAATCTCAGATGTTTTAATAGAGAGATCTTATTCACTGTTTACAGGATTCTCTGATGAAAGTGGACTAGTCACTAGCCAGATGACCCAAATGACACCAAAAACCCAGGGCAGCTCAGAGGCCACTAAAAGTTGACAGTCTTGGCTGGCTTCACCTCATCCATTTCAGAAGACAGCCAGCGGTAAGTGCGATGACGCCGCAGCACCTCGATGGCCTTCAGTTCCAGGGGTGTGGCCTGAATACCAAGGTCTTCCAAGCCAGGCAAGTGAGGCAATGTCATGTCGGTGATGTGAACCTTTGAACAAACAAAGAACCACAGAGAACACTGAACGCTGTCCGAGAACACCACATGCTATCCAGCAAGCACTCAACCCTCCAGCTGAGACCCATTACTGATACTTCACTGTTTTCAAAGGATATGTGGCAGTGCTTGGTTCCAGCACTCTCTAAAAGTTGACCTCAGGCAAAGGGTTTAAGGAAAAAAGGGCAAGTTCACCAAATAGCAGCTCAAAGGTCCCCAGCACTATCCATGAGCATAGAACATGGGCTTTAGGAGAGTCATTCTAGAGATTTAAACAGAAATAAATCTAAAGTGAGAGGCATAGGTCGTCAAATTTGTCAGGGGTGGCTTTATAGGTTTTAAGTAAAATATAGGATTTAAAGCCTGTGTCCATGCTCTGAGCACAGGCTTTCTGCCTCAGTTTTAACTGTTGAATTACAGAAATAACTAGCATTTGTCCTTGCTCATTAAGAGATAATCCATTAACCTTTGTGCTCCAGCTATACTTAACCTGGTTGACTAATGCTCAGATCTAAAAATCCAAACCGATCTTGTTTGTAGAGGAGAATGAACTATAAGACTTAAAAAGATTCTTCATTCTCCCACCCGACAAAGTCTGCAATTCTTTTACCAGTGCTGTAAAGCAACCTCCAAACAAAATCTAAAACCCATTCAGCCTACTGTACTAACACTTTTTCACTTACAAATATGAGAGGCACATTAGTGCAAGATACAATGAAGTATTCTGACAATTAGTTCTCTTGCCCAATCTTTCATGAATGTACAGGACACCTTGAAATGGTCTTGGCTTTCCACCCTATCAGATGGGAAGATAACGCTGTCCATTCACATCTGTTCCCCAAGGACTATTTTTTTTATCTTCTCTACATTTCAGCTTTCGGGTAACATTCAGAGGACAATCTGGCTGTTTCTTATTGATAAAAGGTCAACAGGTGTTCAAAGGTAGAGGTGGTATATTATTTTTATTTTATTTTGTGTCCTCCCTAGAAACTTTTATAGACAGTGGTGACTGATCAATGAGTCACACTAGAATGGGAGACAGCAGGCTGGGAAGAGCCAGAGCTCTGGAGTCCAACACTGCAGAGGGACCAGAGAGGCAACAGGAGACTGCTCAAGGCAATAAGAAAGAAGACGCTAGCCACTTGGATTAAAGTGGGCAGAGGAGAGACAATTATTTCCTTTACCTTTCTATAAGTTGAAAAATTTAAATACTATTATAAACATTTTCATACCAAGCTGAATAAAAAGGTAGAAAGGGAAGAAGTTGTAAGATCTGGAGCATATTTGAGGGTTGCCAGAATCATACCTGCTGATGGTCTAGAGCTGTGCTCTTTGATACGATAGCCACTAACCAAATTTAAGTTTAAATTAACTAAAATTAAATAAAATTCAAAGCTTATTTCTAGAGTCACACAAGCCACATGTCAAGTGTTCAATAGTGACATGTTGCTAGCGGTTACATCTTAGACACTGTAGATCAGTGGTTCTCAACCTTCTGGCCCTTTAAATACAGTTCCTCATGTAGTGACCCAACCATAAAATTATTTTCGTTGCTACTTCATAACTGTAATGTTGCTACTGTTATGAATTGTAATGTAAATATCTGATATGCAGGATGGTCTTAGGCAACCCCTGTGAAAGGGTTGTTCGACCGCCAAAGGGGTCTCGACCCACAGGTTGAGAACCGCTGCTGTAAATCATAAAACATTCCCAGCCAGCACTGCAGAAGTTCTATGGGAGAGCACTGATTTAGATCTAGACTGGATGGGAAAGGAAGAAATCCTACATTTTTGACTTGACAAACAGAGCTAATAGTGATACTGTTAATTGTGATGACAGAGGCAGGTTTGCAATTCTATTTATGGACATGTTCTATTTCAGATGACTGTAGTATTATCTAAATTGGTAAGAGCCTACAGCTGGGTTGGGGGGCAATTCAGGGCTGGAGATAAAACTGCAGTTATGAGTTACAGACAGCAGCTGGAGCATGGGACTAGGTGAGGGTCATTTAGAGAATAAGCAAAGATGGCAAAAGGCTGAGAAGAGAGCCCTTGGGTCCCCCAACATTTAGAGATCAGGAAGAAAATGACCCAGGAAGGCAGACCGAAAAGCATGGCCCAATGAGAGGAGGAAATGCAAGAGAATGTAGAACTGGCCAGAAAAGAGATGGAAATCCAGGGTTGCAAGGAGAGCACCTCATCAGCGAGACGTCAGAAAACTCACTATGGATTTGGCAGAATGGAGATCACAGGCAACCTTGAAAAAACCAATTTTAGGGGCAAAATGGGAATAAAAGCCTGAGTGAAGTGTGTTAAAGAAGAAATGAAGTAAAAACTGTCAACAGCAGGTACAGCAGCCCTTCTGAGGAGTTTTGATGCAATGGCACAAACAGGGTGAGAAGGGAGGGTTTTGTTTTTAAAAAAGAGTGGAGCTCTTATGGCATGTTTGTATGCTAAGGAAAATGAGCCAACAGAGAAAGAAAAATTAGTAGCATCAGAGAAAAAGTAGCGGAGGAACCACACCCTGGAGCAAGCTGAGAGTGGGGGAGTCTGAGTGCACAAGTAGAGGGCTGACCTTTCCAGGAGGGTAAAAGATAGACAAGAGCATGAAAATAACCCAAGCAAATAAGCAAACAAAAATCACTTCTAACTGCCAGTCTCTATAATCGGGTTCCTCTTCAGATCATATAAATCTTTCACCTTTTCCTAACTTACCCATCTATGCAGCTCCCTGCCCAACATCTATCCAGGCAGGTGTTCAACACACTTATACTCACCCGCTCCACTTTATCCCTCGTTGTCCAGGGCTCAAATGGACTGATTTCAAAGAGTCGTGCTATCCATCTAGACAAAGGAATAAATATAGCACATGGGGTAAGTGTCTCTATGCCCAATATTCAAGCTAGGATATAAGAACCACAGGAAGAGAGACTGCTGTAGAGGCATTTTTCTTTAAAGAAAACCGCCCAGCCAGCATGGCTCAGTGGTTGAGCGCCAACCTATGAACCAGAAAGTTCTTGGTTCGATTCCTGGTCAGGGTACATGCCTGAGTTGTGGGCTCGATCCCTAGTGTGGGGTGTACAGCAGGCAGTGCATCAATGATTCTCTCACATTATTGATGTTTCTATCTCTCCCTTTCCCTTCCTTTCTGAAATCAATAAAAAATTGAAAGAAAAGAACCAACATCCTGGCACAACTCTCTGTGAGGTTACCTTTTCTTTCAAGTCAACCCAGCCTGACCGCTGTAACTGCTGACACTGCTTATTCTCTACCAAAGTGACAACTAATCTTAAAAAGTAAAATAAAGCTACCACCACCAACAAAACAAACAAAATGATCCAACATTCAGAAGTCTGAAACTTAATCTAATTTAAGCCTCAGACATTCAAATATGCTTCCATTAAGGATGGAGGGCAAGCTGAGTAGTGTGCAAATATTAACAATGCCTACTGTGTGCCAAGCATTGTTCTAGGTGCTAGAGATAGAGATGTGAACAAATAGCAATGCTCCCCTTTCGTTTTTTTTAAATTATTTTATTTTTTAAATTTACTTTTAGAGAGAGAGGAAGGGAAAGGATGAGAGAGAAAAACATCAATGTGAGAGCATAACACTGATTGGCTACCTCCTGCCACACCCCAACTGAGGATCGAACCCGCAACCAGGGCATGTGCCCTGACTGAGAATTGAACCGGTGACTCTTCAGTGCAGAGGACAACACCCAACCAACCGAGCCATACCAGCCAGGGCAATGCTCCCCTTCTTAAAACATTCATTCATTCTCTCCTTAAAACACTCCTTTTCCAAAACTAATACAAAATGATACTGCATGTAAACCATAATTGAAAAAAAAATTTTTAAAAAGAAAAAAATCAAAACATCACTTTTCTTTTGGTATTTAGGCTTCCAAACTCTACATTTTTCACTTAAACATTCTTATTACACTTTTTTAGCCTCCTTGACAAAGTTGTTATTCTGCTGGTTCTTTAAATGTAGGTATTCCTCATGCTCTGTCCTAGCCTCCCTCTTTTACTCACACTATACACTCTTCCTTACATACTTAGAGTCATTCTAAGTATTAAATGAGGAGGAAGTAGAGACAGCCTAAAAATAGAACACTCTCCATAGATATTATCATCACACTACATTCTAATTGACTACTGTTCTGATACCTCTATATCAGGGCTTACTGTAACATCTCGAGTGCCTAGTGCATTGCCTATGACACAGCAGGCATTTGAAGAACAAACAAATGAAGGAGTGAACTGCCATGCTGGTTTATAAAAAAAATCTGGCAAACTGGATGTGAAAGTGTGTGACATAATTCTGAGCTTCTAAACCTACAAATGGAAGAAGTGAACTAAGAAGCAAGGAAATAAGACAAGGCAACCATAGGCCAAGTCTGAACCAACCTAGCTCCTTTCCCCAATTGCATGACCAGAATGGTTTAACAAAGAGGAGTCCCTTTGCCACTCTGGGTAAGTGATATGAAACAGAGAAACCTGATCTCTCCTTTATCCACCCTGCCAAGATACTTCTCCATATTAAAACTCAGTGATTTTTAATTGGAGAATTTGAAGAACTGCAGATTTAACGCCTCAACACATCATTTTTCTCATCCACACTAATCTGCATTTCCCTTTCTTAGACATCTCTGGTTCTTTCCTAGACTAACATCAAGATATTAGGACAACATTCTAGTTAGAGGTTCCGAGACTTCACTGTAAGGAACATACTCCCTATAACCCCAAGTGAGAGAGCATTATGAACAAATGTATCTAGTTAGTTCTATTTTAGAAGGCACAAAAAGAAGTGCTTTACTTACTGATAGGCAAAACGTGGCAAAGGGTATGGGAGGAAGGGTCTGTGACTCATAGCAAAGACATACTGAACCAGGTCAAAAAGGAGGTATCGATTGGGCCTACAAAAAAAAAATTCAGTTATTCAAATTATTTGCATCTACAAATTCACCTTTTTAATTTAACAAAATAACATTTGTCTTATGAAAAAGGAACACATATGCACCGTAGTAAATACAGATTAGCACAAAGGAAAATCATCATAATCCCACCAAAGACAATGTTAATATGTTTAAAATATATCCTTCTCATCCCCTTACATATACATTTTTGTTTTTATAAATATAAGATTACAGTTCATCCTATTCTGTAATGTCTTTTTCATTTAACATTAAATCACAACCATCTGTCAATGTCATTAAATATTCTAGTGCATGTTTAATGCTTGCACATCATACTGCATATATAGTAATTATAACTATTTTACCAATTCCCATTTTTGGATGTTTAAGCTATTTAAATATTTTTCTTTTATAAAATAATGCTTTAATAAACATTATTACAGTAAATATTTGTACTTATCCATAATTATGTGTTTACTAGAGGCCCAGTGCATGAAATTCGGGGGGGGGGGGGGGGGGAGGGGAGGTCCCTCAGCCGGGCCTGCACCCTCTTGCAGTCCAGGAGCCTGGAGAGCAGGCCTAAGCCGTCAGTCAGACATCCTTAGCACTGTTGTAGAGGCGGAAGAGGACCCCGCCACTGCTGCTGCACTTGCCAGCCTTGAGCTCGGCTTCTGGCTGAGCAGCGAACCCCCTGTGGGAGCGCACTGACCACCAGGGGATAGCTCCTGCATTAAGCGTCTGCCCCCTGGTGGTCAGTTCAGGTCATAGTGACTGGTTGTTCTGCTGTTTGGTCAATTTGCATATTAGCCTTTTATTATATAGGATAATACATTCTAGAAGTAGAACTAGCTAAAAAGTATACTTTGGGATTTTAAGGCTTTTATTGAAAACTAGAGGCCCAGTGCACAAAAATTTGTGCACTTGGGGGGGGTCCCTCAAGCCGGCATGTGCCCTCTTGCAGTCTGGGACCCCTCAGGGGATGACCA